TTTTTTTTTTTTAAAAAAACAGAATAGCCTTATTTCGAAAATTTCAATCAACTTATTACTTTTAGGTACTTTTAGATAATTGTCCAGTATGTAACGAAAAAATAATAATTCTCTTTTATATTTTTATCGATTACGCGAAGAAGAAATTGTGCAAAAAGTGAAAATTGGAAAAGTTGTTTCATCCCTTGACTATAATTTTTAATTTCTCGATTCGAGTAATATGAAAGAATTGATAATGGATATTGGACAATTTCGCGTAAAAATTTTTTTTTCGAAATTTTGTTTATTTTTTTATCGAAATAAAAATAAAGAACGGGATATAATAATTCACACGATTGAAAATCGTATCTTTTTCAAACGCGAACCTCCTCCCCTTCTCCGTCCAAATATCACACAATTGTTTATCAAAATTATCAAGTGCGTTAAATTTTCATCGATCGATTAAATCGTTATCACGTTATGGAGTTATCGATACGATTTTTCCAGTTTTTTTTTTTTTATTCGAAATTAACGAACACGTCTCCAACGCAATTTTTTTCTTTTTTTTTTATTATTTAACAATCAACGAGATACGATTCGATTCTCGTCGAGAATATATTAATAGAATTCCCATGAGCTAGCTAATAATATCGAATTAATCCGATTATACGGAATTTCATTTTAAACTCGACAAACATCGATTCTCCGATTATTAACCGAGATTTCGCAAATTAAGTGAGAGAATTATTTTTTTTTTTTTCCCAAGATACGAATTTCACGAATTTCTCCTATAAAAACAAAAAATTTTATTTACATTCGTTACGCCGATAAAACGAGGATGAAAGTATAAATTAAATTTAAAAATAGCTCGAACTGAATCATTTGATTTTTCAAAAACGATCTCTCGGTTTTTCCATCTTTTTTATCTTTTTCAACGATCAATCATGTATATATGAATATAAATAGAAACAAGAAACAAGATAGAAACAAGAAATGCAACGTTCCCATGCAACGTGTAAACATTTTGCTTATCAATGCTTGTAATTTAATGTGTGAGAGAGAGAGACAGAGAGAGAGACAAAGAGAGAGAAACAGAGAGAGAGAGTATGAATCAATTGCGTTTTTCACACACAAATCGTTTACATCTTTTTTTTATCTTATTCGATTTAATAATCGACGCGAATTGAACGAAACTCGATGAAACGAAACGAAAATCGAGTTTTATTTCATTGACCGTTAATAAACGAAATTCTTGAGTTTTAACTAATCTTGAATCGAAAACTGTATCAAAAAACAAACACCGTGAAGGCAAACGGAGGAAACGAGATTGTATCGATTGTTTGTAAAAACTATTAATGTAAAAACTATTAATTATTAAATATTTATCTAAAGGCGTAGTAGCATCGAGAAAATTGTGAAAAGGTCGAAATGTCGCAAGTCACACAATTTTAATGATTCGTGAATCTCTTGGTATATTTATTCATCGTTCGCTAAATTAATTGAGAAAAAAATTTACGCTCCTTCGCGTGTACATTAGCTCGATATAATAAATATACGTAATTCTTTCTTTCGTATTGTACCTGTACACGTAAGAATTTCACGACGTTTATCATCACGACGTTGAAAAAAGAAAAAAGATACGAGAAGTATCGCGGAATGTTCGCTCGAAAAAAAAAAAAAAAAGAAAAGAAACGAGGTGGAAGAAAGAAAGGACAATCGAAAAAAAAAAACGTTCGAATGCAAACTTCGTCAAACTCGGACCAGAAGACGGTTCCACAGAGTTCCATGATCGACGTGACGCGTTTTTTCGACCTGACTGTCAATCATCGAACGAATGTCGATACTTCGAAACGCCGTTGGATTAAAAACGCCGTCAGAATAGAAACGCAAAT